ATAACTCAGTCCAAGGCAGGACCTTTACCTTTCTTATCCCTCTCGTAGGCTCTAACTACATCGGGAACTGTTTCTAGAAGTTCTGTTCTAGTAAGCTAGCGGTCGTCCTCTGGTTCCTGATAAGCAATCCGATTCTTGTATTGCTTCTGCATACGACCTCTACCTCCTGTTCTAAACACGTCTTCACCTACAATGCCGTCAATGTCGTACCTTCCGTCCATGTATGGAGGAATCATGGATCTTCTAGATGGAAACTGTTGACTTGTGACACACGGCAACAACTTTGAGGCATGAAACACAGGGTAGGTGTGGAGGTGTGCTGGGATCCCTACTGTGTAGGACGGCCCATCCTCTCCGCCCTTAACTTCCAGAACTGGCCACGGTCCTCTATACGCGGGCAGTAACTTCTGCGAGATGTTTTCCTCAGGAGCAAACTCTTTGGACTTGACCCAGACCAGGCCGCCTACTTGAAACTGTCACAGGCGATGGTGCTTAATAGCTTGTTCTATCATTCGGTGCTGGGCTTTCCTGAGGTTCTCTACCACGGTAGCTAACTCTTTCTCGTGCTGTAACGCAAACTCCCTAGTACCGGGCGGTAGACTGTGAATCTGGTCCCGGTTAAGTCCCTCAAACGGTCTACGTGGTCTAAAGGACTTGTGTAACTCGTTGGGAGTGCGACAGGTAGACCAGTGCACGCTGTTATTGTACGCACTGGCTACTTTGGGCAACATCTCATCCCAATTGATCTGATCCGGTCTAATGCACATACACAAAATTTGTTGCAGGATCTTATTCATCTGTTCAGTCTGACCGTTAGTCTCTGGATGACAGCCAGATGACATCAACAACTTGGAGCCATAGACTCTCATCAACTCCTGCCAGTTTTGACTAGTGAACCGGGTGTCTCTATCACTAACTATAGATAGTGGAATCCCATCTCGACTGACCCAATGATCAAAGAACTTTTGAATAACTAATTATGTGCGTGCCTTTGAGGGCAAAGGAACAAAAACAACATACTTACTAAACCTGTCAACTATTATCATGACTTGGCTCTTGCCGTGCCTACTCTTGACATGGGTGTCCATAAAGTCAATGGCCACTGAATCTCCTGGCTGATCAGCAATAGGCAAGGGTTTGAGAAGACCTAGAAGGGCACGCGTAGAGGTCTTATTTCTCTGCCAGACCTTACAACTGCGGACATACTCTATGCAGTCGACCTTCATCCCAGGCCATATGTACGCGTGCATGAGGTTAGTTAGAGTCTTTTGCCAACCAAAATGTCCCTCAGTATCGTGGCATTCCCCTAGGATCTCGTGGCATTCCCCTACGATCGAACTACGAATCTCTTCACTGTTAGGAACACACAAGCGGTCAACTACGTTAGTCTTCTCGAATAGTAGCCCATCAGTAGTGCGGTAGTCTGGTTCTGACTGTGGGGCCTCCTTTACTCTTTTGAGGAGGTCACTATAGATAGGGTCCTGCGCATACCCCTATCTTACTTTTTGTTGCAGGTCTCTCCCTATATCTAGATAATGAACTATCGCTCCAAAGTAATCAGCTCTCCTACTCAGACGTCCGTGACTACATTATACTTCCCTTTGACGGGCTTGAGCTCAAAATCATATTGGTCTAGCTCTGCGGGCCACCTAGTCAGCTTAGGTGTCATCTTGGCTTGAGTCTTCAACCACCTTAATGTCTCGTGGTCTGAGTAGACTTTAAAGTGCCTCCCAAGCAAGTATTGCTTCCAGTGTTCTAGAGCTTGTCTGAGAGCGTAGAGTTCCCTCTCGTAGGTAGATGTTGCTGCTTTCTCTGAAGGCGTCTTAGCAGACATGAACTCTTCGGGTCTATATCCATTGCCATCGTCTTGCTGTAGTACAATACCTACCCCATACTGGCTCGCATCAGTGGTGACAACGAAAGGTAAGGATGGATCGGCTACCTTAAGGACTGGGTACTCTATCAACACCTGTTTCAACTTCTTTATGGCTGCAATCCTTATCCCACTTCCGGATTGTTTCTTTCTTCAGCGACTTGCGAAGGGGAGCAACAATGGTGGAGAAGTTCCTCACAAACTTCCTGTAATAATTAGCTAGGCCTAGGAACGACCGCAACTATGTCAACGTGCGGGGCGTAGGCCAATCCCTAATCACTACGATCTTGCTATCTTCTGGTTTAATGCCGTCTCCGTCTAAGACATGACGTAGATACAAAACTTGGGTCTTTGCCCATTCACACTTCTTTGCGTTGATCTTGAAGTTAGCCTCCCTGAGCTTCTCCAAGACCTGCCTTAGATGACCCTCATGCTCCTGGAGGGTCCTATTGAACACTAGAATATCATCTAAGTAGACTACTACAAATCTGTTTAACCACGGCCTAAACAAGTCATTCATACAGCGTTGAAAAGTCGCTGGCGCATTGGTTAGTCCAAAGGGCATGGCTATGAACTCGTAGTGCCCATATCTAGTTCGGAACGCGATCTTTTACTGATCATCAGGATGGATCTCTATCTGATGATATCCGGACTTCAGATCGATCTTCAAAATATACTTTCACCCCTGCACCCGATCTAAAAGATCATCTATACGGGGCAGTGGCTCTGCATTCTTCACTGTAATCGCATTGAGACCCCTATAGTCTATACACATTCTGAGCTCTCCTTCCTTCTTGGGGACAAACAGAACAGGTGCCCCAAATGGAGACGAACTGGGCCTAATCCAACCCTTCTCTAGAAGCTCGTCTAACTGCTTGCGCAACGCCTCCAATTCCCGCGGGACATCCTATATACTGCTCCTTTAGGAGTCCTACTGCCAGGTTCTATCTCAATGCGGTGCTGGATGGGCCGCGGGACTACCCCTGTAGGCGGTTTAGCTAAATCTGTGTATTCTTCTAACAACTTGGCAATAACGGGATCTATGAGCTTTTCCTCTTTAGGCACAGTAACTGGCTTAACATAGGCTACAAAAATCTGTTCTTCTAGCTTCTTCTTCTTCACTAACCTCGCGGACGCAGGAGCGCTAAGGCAGCAATGTGCCAGGGAGTGCCTACTCCGGACACATGAAACAGACGGGCCGTCTTGACCCCGCCTGGCGGGCTAGGGAGCCTACATTCATGCTCTCTCAAATGGAGTGTGGCCCCTGCTGCCTCTCCCCAGTCCATTCCTAGGACTATGTCAAAAGGAAGGCTGTCCTCTACGAGGACCTCTACGAGGAGAGTCAGGGAATGGAGAACTTTCTCCACCTTCCCATCTTTTGCTAGGCGAAAGTACGCCTCGCATCGTGCGATTGTCTGCGAGGATGCTCACTATGGGGTTTGCTAACTTCTGGACTTTTAGCCCCAACTTCAACTTCTGCAGCGCCTTTCTACTGATATAGCTGCGCGTGGCCCCACTATCTACTACGGCCCCTACTCTACATCTGAAAATCTCTACATCTACTAAAACTAGTTGTCCTCTACTCTCCTTCTTCATCTTGGCCCAGGCGGGCATCCCTTTTAGCTCATCGGCCACACCTGTATGGGGAGGGGCCTAGAGAGACCCTAACACAAGCAGTTTCTGGACAGCTATCTAGGCACCGACCTGCAACTTCTGCCATAGGCACATGTGGTGTAGGAGATTCCTGCCGGCTCGCGCTCATTTCTCCCCATGGCCTTATGGTAGGGGCAGTTGCTACCCCTACCAGCAGCTGCCTTTTGACCCTTGGGCAGCCCATCGGGCCTCTCTATACTTTTGACAAAATTTAATGATGTGGCCAGGGTCACCGCAATATATGCACTGCCCCTGGTCCACACGCTGTTGCCAGACTCGTTGGTCCAGGCCTAAATCTTCCCAAGGCCGGCCTTGCGGCAGACCTAGGTGCCAATTTCCTCTCCTATAGGGTGGCCTATTACCGCTATTGGGTGACCTATTTCCAAAACGGTTTTGCGGGGGACCTTGACCCCTTCCTTCCGCTTGGCAGTTTCCTCCTTTACCACCACCCCCCTGATCGCCCTGGGAACGACCCCCCTTGGCCCTGGCCTCTACCTCCTCCTTGCGGCCTCCCTTCGACCGCGACAACAGCGTAAGTCCTCCCTTGGCTAACGCCACTGTCCTCCTCCTCTAGTCCCCACTCAATCTGCTCGTAGGGGACTTCGTCGACACCACCCTCATCTAACATAAGGATCAAACGATCCTTGGTCTTGTCCTGACCCGAGATGGTGCGACCCTTCCACTTTTTGCCCTTATCTAGGTCCTTATGCCAAAAAGTGGAAATTGACATGGACCTCGCCTCGAATGCCATCACTTCCCTGCTCAATGCATCGTAGGTCATGGTGGACTGTTGGCTCTTCTCGAAGAAGTGCCCTCGTAATTGTTCGGGCAGAGCCCAGTAGAAGAGGTTGACCAATTGGGTCTCTGTGACCCCATGGTCCGGGATGGCGACTAACTCGTCCATTACGCCCTTGAGTGCCCTGACACTCTTCCACTGGCCGGAGTGGATGGTTTGCAGCCTATCAAAGGCTTTGACACTACGTGAGACGTCGGCAAACCGTTCCCTTAATAACTTAAGGAAATCATTGAGGGGCGTAAACGTAGAATAGGCAACGCACCAATAGATGGAGCCTCTCCCCCGGTGGTAGTGGTGTCTGCTTTCATCAGCACCACTATCACTGGTGGGGGTGTTGGTTTTTTAAAAAAAAAAAAAAAAAAAAAAGGCAACGAGATCATTGTTGCAGTTGGTGGCACGGCACAGGGAACGGGTGAAGCTTGCTGCTTCCTCCCTAAGAGCGTGAATCGCTACTAGGACATGCTCGCCCGGGGCAACTTTCCGCAGGTCCACGTACGTCTTAATGTTAGCCTCCCAATTGTCGAAGTTCTCCTCCTTCTTCCCACTATAGGAGTCAGGGAACTTGACCTTGACCGGTTCCCTACGGGAACTTGCTTCCTCCTCGTTGGGAGCAGTCAATCTGGCGCCTTCTATGGCGCCCGTACAATAACGTTTTGTGCCCTCTAGGCGGGCCCTCACCTCTGAGCCCACCTGCGTCGCCAATTCTGTAGCGAAGTCCCGGAGCCCCAGCCGTATAGAGCGTAAGGCAATGTTCCTCGCCATTATCTCCATCTTCCCCAATAGGTCCACCTGCGTCGCCATCTGCTCTCTTTGCTTTTTCACCTCCTCCAATTCTTTCGCCGCCTGGCTCGCTGCCTCCATTCTTCTTTTCCTCTCCCTCATCGATCGGAACTTTCACTCCATCCTCTTCTCATCCTCTATCGCCTGCCGCCTGAGTGGGTCTTCTTCTGCATCCCACATTTTCATGGCGGCCTCTTGTTCTTCCCTGGGCACATACATAAGGGCCTCCTCTTCTTCTCCCAAGGACAAACCAGCAACCCACTCCGTAATCTTCTTTTCCATCTGGTCCTCCTTTGTTCCACTGGATTCTCCTCTCTCTCTCGTCCTTTGCCTTTCCAGTGGCTGTTCTTCGATCTCTTCCTCCTCTTCTACCGCCTCGAGCTTCTCTTCTTCTTCTTTCTTTAACCTCTCCTTCTCTCTGGCCATCTCCTCCTCAATCTTTCTCAACTTCGCCGCCTGTTCCTCCATCAGGGCCTTCTTCTTGGCCTCTGCTCCGAGCACTACGCGTGTCAACCATGGTGAAAGGTGCTCAACCAAGTAACAGTTCCGCTCCTCACCACTTAGACTCTCCCCCTAACTGACTTAACTTAAGACTGACTCAATCTATGGACCATAGGGTTCATAGAGAGCCCTGTCAACTATGGTCTCTAGCCTAGACTCTAATCACTACAGCCGTCACTACAGAACCTGTTGCTGACCAGGAGGCATTTAAGGAGATCCCCCGTAACTCCTCAGGAATTCTTTAACGTCGCAGACAGGACGACGCGGTCAGCAGGTTCTCTCAAGATTTAGACGGCCCGTTGTGCAGCCCACAGCTCGGATTTTGGGCCTACCGTGCCACACCGAGCAGCCCGTCGGCCAGTACCGGTCCTTGGGAGGGTTCGTGTCCTTCGAGACAGTGGAGTCGTCAGACCGAGTCTTTAGCCCTACTCAGCCCGTGTGGGTTTGGTCAACGAGGCCCTATCCTTCATACACGGAGTCCTATCACCTGGACAGAAGAGACTCAATGCAGAAAGAAGAGACAGACAGACTCAGACTCAGCAAGTACCATAGGGTGAGTGCACATCCATAGGGCGAGGGGATATGCTAAGGGCTTGGCGAGATTATACCAACTCCAACTTGGTCAAATCGGGGTCAACAGCTCCGGTCAATGCCTTGGTCAACGCTTGGTCAACACGATCAAACCCCGGTCAACGCTCTGGTCAACGCTCCGGTTAACGTCCGGTTAATGTCCGGTCAACCCTTGGTCAACGCCCAGTCAACCTCCATGTCCGCTATGGCTGCCGACACCTTCTTCCTCGCCACCCTTCACTTCTCTTTCCCCCTCCTTCACCTTTCTTCTTCCTCCTCCCTTTTTTTTTTTTTTTTTTTTTGTTCACCGTCGGCTATGTTTGTCTTCTACTTCGTTGTCCCTCCTTCCTCCTTCCTCAGCTATGTTACATGCTGTGCCTGCACACGAGGGCCATTTTCCAGGCCCTGCGTCCTTCAGGCTAAAAGCCTGAAATTCAGGCTTAAAGCCTGAAAACCAGGGCCTACAGGCCCCGTGACTGTTCAGCCCGAAAGCCTGAAAACAGGGGCCTACAGTCCCTGTGTCGTTTCAGACTAAAAATGGCAATAGCCTTTTTAGCCTGAAACGAAGGGCCATTTTCGGTCGTTCATCAGAACAGCCGGCCCTGAAACTCAGGCACCGAACCAGGGTTTCGGGAACAGGCTATTCTTAGCCTGTTCCCACGCCAGCCTCAGCACATGCTGCAGCGCCATCCCCTGACACACTTCGGCATTGGCAAGGGCAGCCTCCTCGGCCTGGCTCGCCCTTCAGGCAGTCAGGAGGCAGGCCGAGGTAGTACATAGGGACTTCCCATGCACTTCACGGGAGGCAGGAGGCAGTAGTCTTTAGGATTCGGCCGCAGCACTCTGGAGGGAGCGCTGCAGGGAGTAGTAGTAGCGTTAGCCTTTAGTCTTCAGCGGTGGGCGCAGTAGGTAGCTGTAGTCTCCAGCGCTGGGCGCCATAGCTAGGATAGCACTGGAGAGAGAGAGAGATTGGGCGGAGCAGGTAGGTACCTGCAGCACAGCGCCAACATCACAGGTTAGTATCTGGCTCGTAACAGAGAGAGAGAGTTCTTCTTCTTCCTCTTCTCAGTCCACCATCTCCCTCTCACCCTCTCATCATCTGACTTCACTGCATCTGCAGACTACGAGAGAAGAGAGAAAGAGCTTGGTGACATTGGATCCACACTCGACTTTTGGACTTCAGACATTGCAACGAGGGATTATTTGGGACTCGTGACAAAGACTTGGTGTTGACGACATTCCCATCTCTCTCCCTCCTTTCGTCTGATCCCCTCCTCTTCGTCTGTGTATGTCTGGACCTGGTGCTTCCTTCCTGTGTACAGCGCCAGGCTCCTTCACACCTTGTGATGGATACGATGTATGTTTGGTCTGCGTTCAAACATTGATTGGGCTAGTTATTAGCATTCTAGCATTCTGCTTCGATATCTGATACTAGATGAATGAGGTCAGTCCCGTTCAGGTCAGGACTTGTATCTAAATCTTCCACTGCGCTATTCAGCACTCTTTTGTATGTATGAGAATGCACATTGCTTGTCGAGATTCTACTTGCACTGCATTGTCCTTTCAGTCCTTTTTATCACATTGCGGATCCTCGGTTTCTATGTACATCGCCCAACTGGGCATGTAACAGCTATGTCTTCCTCTTCCTCTCCGGTCTCTCCTCCCTTCTCCACTTCTCCTTCTTTCGTCAACCCCGTGTCCGAGCTCTGCGGCTATGGCCGCTACTTCGTCTTGGACCGCACAACCAATCTCGTATCACTCAAGTCTCTCTCTCCGTGGTGATATCTTCAGCGCAGGTGCGTAGCAAACCAATCTTGTATTGCTCAATTCTCTCTCTCTCTCTCTCTCTCTCTCTCTCTCTCTCTCTCTCTCTCTCTCCCTGTCTTCTTCGTCGTTGTCTTCTGTGCAGGTATGCGTCACCTTCTTCCGCAGAGGAGCTATGGCGGACTTCTTCTTCATGGTGGCGCTTTTCAACTATGGCGCCCTATGGCGCGCGTCTCTCTCCTGCTGCAACAGCGATGGCGCGTGGGACAGCGGGTACCAGCTCTGATACCAGTGCAATCATACTCACTTTCATTCACACTTCACATGTACGCGAACAGGTTGCGCAGCAAACTGGCGTCAAGCACCCACTCCGAACTCAGAGATAAAGTACCAAGAACGCGGCTCAGATACAAGTTCACTTCAAATGGCTATGGCGGCACACCGCCTGTACAACTCTCTGTTTGTCACTTACTCAACACTGCTGTTCGCACACAGGATCACCCTGGATATCCCACACGCAAGACTGTGTACACTCGCACACACCCGCACACACCTACAGCTATGGCGGCTATGGCCGCTGCTACTCTATCGCTATGGCTAACTTCCTTCTCGCCCACTTCGTCCTCGGGCTCACTGCAGACCACCTCGCACAAGTCGCTATGGCAGCGCTTCCGCATGGCTTACGCAGGAATCAATCAATGGCTGGGCGCTGCCCCTTGATTTATACTTCTGTAACTCGCTGGTCTGCCCTTTTCCATCGGCCCACTGTGCACACAGTCCCTCATGGTACTTGCTGGACTGGACTGGGACTGACCGGACCGGTACCGCTGACTGCATGGGGTTGCACCGCAGACTCACTGCAGCCGCACTGCCAACATACTGAGGTTGGCTCCACCACTTGCCCACTTGCCTCTGCCTAAATGTGAGCCCACTCTGAAAGGCCACTTCCGGGACCTTCCGGAAGTCTGTAGACTTGGCCTTTCGGGTACTGTAGCAGCTACGACCTTGACCTCTCAGGACTGTAGCAGCTACGACGTTGACCTTTCAGGATCCCTAGAGCTACGACCTCTACAGGGCTATGACTCCTACTCGACAGACCTACAGATCGAGTCCCTACCACTACACAGACCTACGACAGACAACAACAACTGTCAAAACACAGGTCATGGGTTCAAACACTCAGGGTCGACACAGATACTGTACACAGGTAAGGTGAGAACTAGGGATCGAGCCCTGGGATCTGCATTCGCTACTGCTAAAAGGTGAAAACCGTTTCACTCACGGTCGCGCACCTCTTCTTGGACTGCGCGCGATCGTGGGAAGTGCTTGGAGAAGAAAATCTTGCACTGCGCTCACGATCGCGCA